CCCGTATGGGGGCGCTAAAAGGGCCGGGAGCAATGGGCTAGAAACCCCCTTCTCCTGTAGACTTTTAAACAAAAAAAGGAGAAGAAAAAGAAAAATTTTAAAAAACTGGGTGCTTAAAATGTGCGGGGAATGAAGTGCGATGACAAAAAAACAGAATTTGCTAAATTTTTAAAAATGAAAAAAAATTTTTGGATTTTCCGGGCCCTCTAAGCAAAACAAAGCTGAAGGGGGTAGGGGGGGTTTTGGGGGGGGAAAAATAAATGGGATTAAATCTGGGGGTATCTGAAGTTTTTAGAGAAAAGGGAAGGGGGTAGCAGAAAATTTTGAATATCATTAGGGAAGGGAGAAAAGAATTTTAATGTGTAAATTAAAGAATTATGGGGATTAAAAAAAGGGTTTGGATGCGAAAGGGTCAAATAAGCGGTTGCCCCCCTGGAGAAGAGGGGAAGGCAGAGGAAGGATTTTGGGAGATGTTAAGTAAATTTAGGACCCTTTTGAACCAAGGGGAGAAGTAATTGTGGTGGGGGAACCTAATGCAAAGTAGGAAAACCCTTTTAGAGGGGGTGTGGTAGGAATTTTGGGGGGTGCCAGGTGAAAAATGATAAGGGGAGCCCTTTGATTGAACTTTTGTAAAAAAGGGGGGTTTAGTTAAAGGTAATACATATTTTAAGAAAAAGGAAAAATAAGTATACAAGAAATGATGTAGGGAAAAATTTAAAATTTTTTTTTGTTGGATTTTTTTATTGGTAGATAAGACTGTTAAAGGTAACTTCGGGAAATTTACATGTTTATAGGGGGGCCAAAAGATAAATCAGATCACTTCAAATTTTGTACTACCTTAGAGAAAAAGGGTAAAATGGGATAAAAGGGGAGAATAAAGCATCAGGGAAGAGAGAGGTAAAGGGTTTTTATAAACTAAAAGGGGAGGCAGTTAGGGTAAATAAAAACACTTTTGGGAGGATAGAGGGGTTTTAATGAAGCAAAGGAAATTTGGGGGCCCAAAGGGTAGGGGGGGGTTTTAAAAATGTATGTTAGAGTGTTCAAAATAATTTTTTGGGGTTACAGGAAAGGGGGGTGGGGGTGGGAAGAGGAGCGTTTGGTGGAAGATTTTAAAGAGAGAAAGAAAGGGGAAAAAAAAGGGTTACCCAAAATGAGAATTTTTTACAAAGTAAAGGGGATGAAAGGGAAGGGAAAGATATGGAGGAAAAAGAAAAGGGGTTAAGAGAGGGTTGAAGCAAGAAAAAAGAGAGCAAATGAGAGAGTGGGTGAATTTTAAAACAACAAATTTTTTTTGAAAATAAGAAAAAGTTTTGGAGTAAAATTTTAAAACAATTAAGAAACCTAGAGAACAAAGGGAAATTTGTCAGTTAAAAAAAAGGAGAGGAGATTTTAAATGGAGGGGTTAGGGGGTATTGGGAAGATGGAGGGAAAATTTTTGAGAATTTTTAAATTTGATGAAGTGGGGAAGCTGTGATTTCGTGTATGGGAAAAGGGAGGAATAACATCTTTTTAGGAGTGAGGAAGCGCCATTTTTGAGTGTGGGGGAAGTTCTTTGAGGCAGGGGTTTAAAATAAAAGGGGGGGAAAGGGCCCCGGGGTTGAGGGGATAAAAAAAAAATTTAAAACCCGGTGGGGATATTTTTTTTGGAGTGGTTGGTGCAATTATTTAATAAATGTATGGAAGAGGGTAAGGTACCTAGGGATTGGCAGAGAGCATGCATATTCCTTTTGTATAAAGGCAAAGGGATAAAAGAGATGCAAAAAATTTATAGGGGGATAAGTCTGCTGAGTATACCTGGTAAAGTGAAATGGTAGTTATTATTGAAAGAATTAAGAGTAAGACTAGAATAGGATAGCAGATGAACAAGGAGACTTTAGGAAAGGTAGGGGGTGGTGGACCAGGTTTTACAGTGAAACATATAAGTGAACAGTATTTAGATAAGGCTAAAGAGGTCTTTGTGGCATTATGGATTTGGAAAAGGCGTATGACAGGGTGGATAGGGGGCAATGTGGCAGATGTTGCAATTGTATGGTGTGGGAGGTAGGTTACTGAAAGCAGTGAAGAGTTTTTAACGAGGATAGTGGGGCCCCAAGTTAAAAAGTATGAAAGGGAAAGAGGGAAATTTTTCCCAGTAAAAGTAGGCCTTAGACAAGGATGTGTGATGTCACCCGTGGTTGTTTAATATATTTATAGAGGGGGTTGTAAGAGAAGTAAATGCGAGGGTCTTGGCAAGAGGCGTGGAGTTAAAAGATAAAGAATCACACACAAAGTGGGAGTTGTCACAGCTGCTCTTTGCTGATGACACTGTGCTCTTGGAGAATCTGAAGAGAAGTTGCAGAGATTGGTGATGGATTTGGGAGGGTGTGCAAAAGAAGAAAATTAAAGGTGAATGCAGAAAGAGTAAGGTTATGAGGGTAACCAAAAGATTAGGTGATGAAAGATTGAATATCAATTGGAGGAGAGTGTGGAGGAGGTGAATGTATTCCCGATATTTGGGGGTGGGAAGTGTCGGCGGATGGGTCTATGAAGGATGAGTGGGAAACATAGAATTGATGAGGGGAAAAGAGTGAGTGATCACTTAGGAGTCTGTGGAGACAAAAAACTTTGTCCCCGGAGGCAAAGAGGGAATGTATAGAGTATAGTTTTTAAAACCCAAAGCTCTTATATGGTGTGAAGCATGGGGGATGAATGTTGCAGCGAGGAGAAGGCTGGAGCAGGGGAGATGTCATGTCTAGGGCAAGGGTGGTTAAAAATAATGCAGAGAATTCGTATTTTTGGAATTTTGGGAGGAGGGGGGATTACCAAAACTGTTGTCCAAAAGGGCTAAAGAAGGGTTGGGGAGGTTTTTCCGGGAAACTAGAAAAATGGAGCAAAAACAAAAATGATTTTCAAGAGTGGTATCAGTCGGGTAGGGAAGGAAGGGGGGGTGGGGGTGGCCTAGGAAAATTGGAAAAGGGAGGGGGTAAAGGGGGTTTTGGGTTGCGGGGGGTTTGGGACTTCCACAGCATCGTGAGCAATTTTGATGGATTAAAAGGAGAAAAATTTTTTTTTTAAACTTGGGGTTTGTTGGAGTGTGGGGAAAAGAAACCATTTATAAAGGGGATTCGGGGAAAAACCGGCGGCCCGGGGATTTGAGCCTTTGGAGATGGAAGTACAGTGCCTGCCCTTTTGAAGGAGGGGTTTAAATTTTTTTGGAATTTTTTAAAAAACGAAAGGTTTTAAAGCACCCTTCGGCAAGACAGTGATGGAGTAAATTTAAAAGGGTAAAAGTTTTTTTTTTTCCGGGCCACCCGGCCCTTGGGGGGAATGGGCCCAGTTTAAATTAATAAAAAAAAAAAAATTTTGAAAATGACTTTGTCATTTTTTATTTGGTATTTAAATGTTTTCTTTTTTTTTTTATGCTGTTAGTACTGTTTTTAAATACTGTAATTTTTTGGATAAACAGTGAAAAAACAAATAGGTTTTTTCCCAGAAATTTGACAAAAAAAACAGCCCAAAAATCCGAGCAGGCCGTAATTGGGATGGTAGGTGTATTTGTTTCCCAAGACGCCTCGGACTTACAAAGGCTCAGACCAGTAGTCATACCCAAAATTTAAATGTTTAAAGGGTTTTTTTTAAAAGTTTTCAATATAATTTTTAAATTTTTAAAAAAAAAAAAAAAAAAAAATTTTAAAATTTAAAAAAAAAAAAACCCCCAAAAATTTTTAAAAAATTTTCCAAAAATTTTTAAAAAAAAAGGGAAAATTTAAAAAAAAAAAAAAAGGGAAAAAAACCCCCAAAAAAAAAATTTTAAAAAAAAAAAAAAAAAAAATTTTTTAAAAAAACCCCAAAAAAAAACCCCAAAAAAGGGGTTTTTTTTTCCCAAAATTTAAAAAAAAAAAAATTTTTTTTTAAAAAAATTAAAAAGGGAAAAAAAACCCAAAATTAAAAAAAACAAACCCCCCCTTTTTAAAAAAATTTAAAAGGGAAAAAAAAAAAAATTTTTTTTAAAAAAATTAAAGGGAAGTTTCCCGGGGAAAAAAGGGGGTTTTTTTTAAAAAATTTTTTTTTGGTTTTAAAAGGGGGAAAAAAATTTTTTTTTTTTTTTTATTTTTTTTTCCCCCCAAAATTTTTTTTTTTTTTAAAAAAAAATTTTTTTTTTCCCGCCCGGGGTTTTAAAAAAAAATTAAAAATTTTTTTTAAACCCCCAAACCCCCCCCCTTTTTTTTTAATTTTTTCCCCCCAAAAACCCCTTTTTTAAAAAAAAGGGGGGGGGCCCAAAAAAAACCCCCCTTTTTTGGGAAAAAAAAATTTTCCAAACCCCCCGGGGGGAAAAAAAAAAAAAAAAGGGGCCCCCCCCCGGAAGGGTTTTTTTTTTTTGAAAACCCCCCCCAACCCCCCCTTTTCCTTTTCCAAAAATGTTTTTTCCCCCCCCTTTTTTAAAATTTTTTCCAAATTTTTTTTTTTTTTTTTTTAAACCCTTTTTTTTTTTTTTTGGGGTTTTTTTTATTTTAAAAAAATTTTGGTTTTTTTTTTCTTTTTTTAATTTTAATTATTGGAATTTTTTTTTTAAAAAAATTTTTAAAAATTTTTAATTTTTTCAAAGAAAAATTTTTTTTAAAAACAAACCCCAAAATTTTTTCCTTCCCCCCAAAAAAAAAAAAAAGGGGTTTTTTAAAAAAAAAAAAAAATTTTTTTTTTTTTAAAAAAAAAAAAGGGGGTTTTCCATCAAATTTTGTACTTTTGCTTTATTACCTCCAGAAAGTTTCTGTACCTTTTCACAAGGATTTTTTTTTTTTACCCTGTAGACCGTTTTCAGATTGGGGGCTTTGGACCCTCAAGGGGTTAATAACAAAGGAGTACTGCAGCAGACTTACTGGCCCAGCCTAAGCAGATGCATCTTGCCCACCCACACCCACTCATGTGCTTGTCTAACCTATTTTTAAAGCTACACAAGGTTTCAGCTTCAATAACACTACTCAGGAGTTCGTTTCACTCATCCACAACTTTTCTTTCTGCAGGTAATTGTAGAGAAGGCTCCCAAAGCTCGCATTGGTGACTTGGATAAGAAAAAATATCTAGTTCCTAGCGACCTCACTGTCGGACAGTTCTATTTCTTAATCCGCAAGCGCATCCACCTGCGACCAGAGGATGCTCTCTTCTTCTTTGTCAATAATGTCATTCCTCCAACCTCCGCTACCATGGGCTCGCTCTATCAGGTATGATATGAATTGCATTAGTGTTCTCAAATAACTTTCACATGAAGTTTTTGTATGTGTGGGTCATTTGTGTATTGTTAGTCTCAGTATTGTGCCTCTTTGTTCTGTTTTTTTATGACTTTACGTTACTTTATGGCTTAATGTTAGTGTATTGCTATCCTAGTAATGTTCTCATTCTTTGTCAGTTAATTTCATCTTGTAAAAATTTTCTTAATAAATTTCCCTATTTACTACTAAACTAAATTTTCCTTAACCCTTAACCCTTTCAGGGTCCAAGGCCCAAATCTGGAGTCATGCACCAGTGTCCAAGAATTTAAAAAAAAAAAAATTGTGATTTTTTCTTATGAAATCGTAGAGAATCTTTTTGTGAAGGTAATAAAACAAAAAGTACGAAATTTGGTGGAAAATTGACGAAATTATGCTCTCGCGAATTTTGATGTGTCAGCGATATTTACGAATCGGCGATTTTGCCGACTTTGACTCCCATTTTAGGCCAATTACATTATTCCAGTCAACCAAATTCTTAGCTGTTTCACTAGTATTACTTCTATTCTATCGATTGAGCACAAGAAATCGCCAAGTCAACTGTTTTCAACTACAAAATAAAGGATCGGAAAATGTTAATTTGGCCAATTTAACACAAAGTTCAAAATATTCCCAATTTCAAAATAGGGTCCAGAATGAACAATGTAAGCATTCCTGGCACAAAAACTAACATTTCTCTGTTCATTAGTTATGTTTTGAGGTTTTTTACAAATAAATTCCATTTTGATTTTTTATTAACATAATGAATTTTTATTCACACCAAAAAATAGAAGATTACTGTTATGCAATACTGTAATAATTGTATAAATATCATCACCATATTTGTGATGTATATTAGACCCACCAGCTGATGTGTATTAGACGTGTGAGGTCGTTTGTTTACTCTTGAATATGGGGCAAAATTTAACATTTCTGCTATTTGAGCTCAGTTTCCCAAGCCATTTCCAGTGCGAAAACCAATCAAAATCACCTCTATTTCTGTAATTATGTCTTCCATTCTATCAAATGAGACCAAGAAAAATCGCAATCCCAAACTATAAAAAAACATACGAAAAAACACTGCAAAGTTGCTGTTTTAATCGAAAAATCATGATTTCATTTTTTTTCTCATTATACACAGTGTGCTGCAGGATCTGTTTTATGTGGTGCACACATACCACATAGATGTATTCTCTCATATCTAGGCCCAAATGTACCACTCACAGTTTATCAGAGTGAGCTGAGCTCATGGCGTAGATCTACGGTTTGGACCCTGAACGTAAAGCCGTAGATCTACGGGACGGACCCTGAAAGGGTTAAACGGTCCAAACGTATATATACGTTCACTCGCGTAGCGCCCCAACTTTTTTGAGGAAAAAAACAATCTTTTCTTTTAAAAGGAAAAAAGAGCATATGGTACCCAGGCATCCCCAATTATTTTAATATGGAACAGTGAGTGCGCACACCCATTCTCTCATGTCTAGGTGACTCAGGCTTATTGTGGCAATGTTGAATGAATGACAAAGAAAACGTATATATACGTTTGGGGCGCTACGCGCGTGTATGTATATATACGTTTGGACCGTTTAAGGGTTAAATCATAATGGCTGGGTAACTTGCAGTTTTTAGAAGAAACTATATTCATAATCTATAAACTTGCTCGACAAAATGAATGTTAACTGCAATTTGTCCCTCTCTGGTGCTGAGCACTCGTACCATCGTGGGGGCAAGAGTTGGGCACCAGTGTGCCCAAGATTCTTTCTTTTTAGCCTAGGGAACTCTCCCCTAGAATTAAAATTTGTAATGGCTTACAGCCTATAGCTTCGAATGAAATGTGAACGTTGTTATAGTTTGAACTTAACCGTTTGAGGGTTGGAACCCCTGATCTGAAACTTGCTTCAGAATTTAAAATCCAGTGGAACCCCTGTTGCCGAACGCAGTACTTGTCAGACAAATTGGTTTTCAGATGAGGAATTACAGAAGGAAAAGTCCTGGTTTTTGTATGTGCTCTTAGTCGTGGTTTTTGTACGTGCTCTTAGTTATCAGCTGACAACACTTGGATCACATGATCATCAAACAGTCCACAGTATGGGTCTCGGTAAATATAGCAACTAACGCATGTTCTGTAAACACACCTTGAGCTCTTGCCGTGCCTCTTGTGAACTTTGCTATTTTTGAACTTTTGGTGCCTTTTTCTTTTTTACTTTTATGATAAGCCATCATGAGTCCAAAGACGGATAGACATGCAAGTAAAAAGAAAAGTTGCAGGAAGCACTGTTGAGGTTAGTTATTCGAAAGTATGAAGAAGATAGGTTCTTCATGGTTGATATAGCAAAACTTTTTGGTAAATCAGTCTACCATTAGCACAATACTGGGCCAAAGGGAAAAAATTAAAGCGACAACCTTCAAAAGGTGCAAAAGTGATATAAAACCAAACGCCTCAAATTATTGAGGTTGAAACTCTTGTTAATTTGGATAAACGAAAGTCACATGGTGAAATTCTTTCAAGAGGCCATTATTTCTGTAAGTGAGGCAGTTGCACAGTGACCTGGGAAAGTGTTAAAATGCAGTCCTCAAGACTAGCAGGGGTTGGTTTGACATTTTTTTAGAAGTGGCATTCATAGTATGGCTAGGCATGAGGAGGCTGCCAGTGTTGACAATGTAACTGTTGGAAAAGTACGTTTCTGAATTCTAATCATACATAAAGGCCGAGGGATTTCTCCCCAAAGTGTTTGTGATAAGCTGTGATAAGAAAATGCCCAAGAGGAACTACATAACTGAAGAGGAAGTCTGTACTAGGACACATGCCAATGAAAGACAGGCTCGCTCTATTGTGGTAATGCAAGTGGGGACTTGAAACTGAAGCCTCTTCTGGTTTATCGTTTAGAAAATTCACGAGTTTAAGAACATTATGGAAAGTAAATTGGCTGTAATGTGGATGACCAACGCAGAAGCTTGGGTAACGAGGCAGTTTGAGTGGGTTCATGAGGTCTTTGCTCCCACTGTCATAAAGTACCTCATTAAAAATCAGTTTCCACTCAGGGCCCCTTTACTTTTGGATAATGCTCCTGCTCACCCCCCAAGCTTGGAAAATGAGTTGCTGGAGGAGTTCAGTTTTATAATTAAAGTTCTTGCCTCCTAACATCACTCGTGTCATCCAGCCCATGGACCAGCAAGTCTTTTCTAGCTTCAAGAAACTCTACCCCAAAGCACTTTCTGAAAGGTGCTTTGTCTCTTCAGAAACAAATTTAACCCTCAGGGAGTTCTGGAAGGACCACTTCAGTATCCTCTCCTGGAAGCTTAATTAACAAACCCTGGAGGAATGTCTTTCAGGACCAAGCAGTCAGCATGGAAGAAATTGTGGCCTGACTTCATGGCAGCCAGGGATTTTGAAGGCTTTGAAGATGAGCCTGTGTTGGTAGAGGATATTGTCGCTGGGGAAGACTTTGGGCCTAGAGGTGACTGAATATGAGGAGCATAGAACTGAACTCGCCACAGAAGAATTTGTAGACCTTCAGAAGGAGCAGCATCAGATTACAGCAGAGGAGCTTATTATCAAAGGAAGAGAAAGGAAGAATGTGCGCATTGCACTTGACAAGGAAATGTGTGCTAAATGGTCTTAAGTGCAGGAGTTTGCTGAAAAATACCATCCAGACAAAGCAGTCACCATCCATTTAACATGTACAATGATGCTGTAATGTCTCGGCTCAGACAAGTGTTAATACGGAGCCTTAAACAACCCTCACTGGAAAGTTTTTTAGCGAGACAAAGAAGAGAAACCCCAGAAGGAGAGTTGCCCGACATATTAATAGATGTTGACTCCTTCCAAGCAGTAACGTCCCCCCCCCCCCTCCACCACCACAACCACCACCTGCTTCCAGTATGCCATTAGCTTTCCTCTAACAGGTAAGAGGCGGTTAAATTTTAATTTACTGTACATTATTTATTCTTTTAGTATCAATATTTAGTTTTATGTAGTATTTAGTACTTTTTTTTATATTGTCATTTGGGGTCTAGAAACTGATTAATTCTATCTACATTATTCTTTATGGGAGAAATTGCTTTGGTTGTCAAACAGACATCTGGAACAAATTAAGTTTGACAACTGAGGTACCACGATAAATTATTTTTCATCATGTAATATAATCTTTTCCGAAAATAACAAAACCAAAAGTACGAAATTTAATGAAAAATTTAGAATTACGTTCTCGCAAAGTAGCAGTCTCGGCTATAGTTAGACATCAGCAATTTCCTCCACTTTGAGCTTTATTCTTGTCAAACCACACTGTTCCAATCAACCAAATTCATACCTATTTCACTAGTATTCCTTCTGTTTTTAACAATCGAGTACAAAAAACTTCCCATTTCAGTATCTCAGTAGTGATCAGAAATTGGTAATTTGGCCAATTTCACACAATTACCAACTCAAAAATAGTCCAAAATAAAGTAAACATTCCTGGCACTAAAAAAAAAAAAAAAAAAAAAATATCCTGTTAGTTGCATCCCCAGGCCTCTCCTCTATTATACTTGCGCTCTATTTTGAATCTTTATTCTCAAAAAAAAATTATTTACTGTTGTGCAGACTACTGCTGTATTGTAACATTTATATAAATGATGCCAGCTCATTTGTGAACATGTATTAGACTGACCATTTGGACCTGTATTGGTTAGTTTAATATGTTTATTATGCACCCCATACCCATCCAGTGGGCGGTAGTCAAAAGATTACAGAGGTACATAATAGGTCCAGGGACTGGGCCTCAAAGTTTTGATAGCTGAGCAAGTTACAGAGGTAATGAATTCACAATTTACAAAGGTAATGAACTCCAGGTAGGTCTAGTCACAATCATGACAAGTTACAAAGGTATTTACAGATTACAGAGGTACACAATGGGTCCAGGGACCGGGGTCCAAAGTTTTGATAGCTGAACTAGGTACAAAGGTAATGAATACTGTAAGAATGGTTACTTACATGT